ACCAGCAGCGACCCGCGCCGCCGCCTCCCCGCCTGCAACTGCTCGCTGCGCTTCCACCTGCCCGAGGACTTCCCGGCGCCCGTCTGCGTCTACTACCAGCTCTCCAACTACTTCCAGAACAACCGGCGCTACAGCGTCTCCCGCGATGACCAGCAGCTCAGCGGGCTCGCCTGGGCGCTGCGCCACCCCGTCCAGGAGTGCCAGCCCTACCGGTGGAACGGCAGCGGCGTGCCCATCGCGCCCTGCGGCTCCATCGCCAACAGCCTCTTCAACGACTCCTTCCAGCTCTTCTACCTGCAGGCCAATGGCAGCCTGGCCCCCGTGCACTTGGACAAGCGGGGCATCTCCTGGTGGACCGACACCAACGTCAAGTTCCACAACCCGGAGCTGGTCAACGGCAGCCTGCCCCTGGCCTTCAACGGCACCGCCAAGCCTCCCTTCTGGCCCCGGCCGGTCTTTGAGCTGGACCACGGCGACCTCAACAACACGGGCTTCATCAACGAGAGATTCATCGTCTGGATGCGCATCGCCGCCCTGCCCACCTTCCGCAAGCTCTATGCCCGCATCCACCACGACAACTTCACTGTGGCGCTGCCCCGGGGCACATACTACCTCAACATCACCTACAGTTACCCAGTCCTGGCTTTCCACGGTACCAAGAAGGTCATCTTTAGCACCGTCTCCTGGATGGGGGGCAAGAATTCCTTCCTGGGCATTGCCTACCTGGTCGTTGGCTCTGCCTGTATTCTGGGTGGCTTCGTCATGATGGTGGTGCACTTCAAATACCGGCACCTGGATGAGGACGATTAGGAGACCAAGCCCTTCCCAGGATTCCTTGGAAGTGCTGGACATCCCTTCCCATCATTCCTTAGGTAGCATGTCTAAGGGCTGGGGAATTCTGGGAGATGCTGGCGAGGGCATAAAGGAAGCTGAAACCCAGCATCTGGAGAGCATCAGGCTGGGAAGGTTGCGGAAAGCTGTGAATAATGGGACCTCTGCAGGAAGCACGATAGATGCTTCTCGACACATGAAGAATGAATTAACTCTGCCGTGTAGCCTTTCTTGAAAATAATCCTCAGCTCCATAATTTCTGAAGCTCGTGTAGTTGATTCTTGTGACCTGGCATGGGGAATTGCATGCCACCATCTTTAATCATCAGAAGTTTGACAAGGGGTGTGGCTAACAGGATACTGTCTGGGGGACGTTGCTGTTTTCCTTATGCAGGGACGTTCCCCAAACAAAGTGATGTTTAAATATGAATGTTGGAAACTGTCACCCAGTTTGGATCTTAGGTTGGGCCTCTTCTCAACATACTGGGGAGATAACCCAGCATTTAGAGTTTATACAATATGTTTAACCATGGTTAACTATACCATGTGTTCCTAATCTGGCTTGGTATGACACGTTTGGGCTAAATTCAGTCAGCTAATTTATACTTCAGTGTATTATGCACATACAGCCAATGAGAAATGCGTAAGAGACATTTGGGCTTAGCTTTATGCTTCTGCCGAGTGACTCTTAGCTGAGAACTTTCATGGAGTAACTGACTTCTTATCACTTTGCATAGAGTTCTAGGGAGTCCTTTATTTTACATCAGCCCTTTATGGATCTGCTGGCTGGTTAATGATTTTGTGACCGTGTTTGCATTGCAAACAATTGAAAAATGATTCACATAATCTTGAAAGGCTCCATGTACGGCAAGCGAAGTATTTTTTGCATCCTATTTGGACATGCGCCGTCTTCAGTAGTCTATTTCCTTGAAAAGCGCCAACGCTTTTGGCGGCACCACAATCTTTTAATGCCTGTGGTGACAAAGTACCTCCTCCTGGTTCACTTGTACAGGCAAATTATTACCAGCAAAGGATCCTGTTAAACTGACATACACAGGTTAGCTGATGTACAGGTTTTAAAACACTTCCTGGTGGGTTTGGACTTCAAAAGGAGCTTTGCCATTCCTGAACGAAGTGGAAGTGCTGGTGACTAAAGGCCAGCAACACCTGCTGTAAAAAAATCGGGCAGATACGTTTTATCATGTTTGCTGTACTCCTTACAAAATGAATTATCTTTGCAAGTCATTCTGGGTAGCTCAGAGTCCTAAGTCAACACACCTTCCCTGTTTGCAAGCAATTTTCTGCCTGGAAACATTCCCCACCCCATTTAGTTATTTAGGTATTTTCCCCCACATTTAAGTTGCTCTTGAGAGCAACATGCAAAGGCCTTGTCAAAAGGTAGTGTTTATTTCATTTATACTTTGTCATTTGAGTTTCTGCAGAAGCCTTCTCCCCTTCCTCCTTCCACCCCACTTGAAATGGTTGAACTATGGAAGACATTTTCGTAAGATGATGGACCACTCAGGGAATGCGTAGTTAAATGTATAGTAATCAGGGAGCACTAGTTTTTTCATGATAAATCAAGTCCCTTCTTAAGGTTAAACTTATACAATCACTGTGAAATGATGACGTTGCTTTCTATAAAAATCATACTAGATGTTCCTATGTCGTTTATGATTTCTTCCTATGCCTATGATACTTGATAATTAACACACCAGAATGGTTATTTTGGTGAGATATTTATGTTTCAGTAGAGATTCTCAGGTGAATGTTTTATCTCTTTAACAATGCAACTTATTTTTTTAGGCAGAGTTACAGGAAGCATTAAGTATGCATTTCTGTGAGATTGACATACCACATTTCCTCTCTGTGACTCGAAATGAAGAGCTGTCCAAAGTTTACCTTACTTGTATTTTAATCAGATAAATGGCATAATAATAAAGTTGTGGTCATGTTTTTATGGGCTGCTGAAGCATGAAAAGATGTTGGATGGGGAGACAGATGAGCTAATGTGGGCTGAGCATAGAGAAGTTGACTGTATTGGTCTGTATTTTCCCATTCTCATGTTAAAACGTTTAAACAAAATTGGAACAGCTTTCAAATGGTGAAAAAGATTTAAGAGAGAGAATGAAAATTGCATGTCATTCCCACGTGAGGAAAATCATGATATTGCTAATGTGTATTAAAGAATGAAAAAAATGTGAGAGAGAGGAAGTTGTACATCAAGTTCCACCAATGCATCTTCAACTGACATTAAATCTGCTTTCAGTTAATACCCTGAGTGATTGGCAAAGTTTTAGACACCCAATAGTTTAACAACAGCAAGTAAAATGAAAGTAAAGCATCATGTCTGTGAAAGGTGACTTCATGCATGTGATTACTCATCAGTCTCTCTGTTCCTCTCTTATGAATTACTATTATTATATTTTTATTATATTTTAATCTCGCCTTTTAAAATATATTTTGGTCAGCTCAAGGTGGCAAACATAGCTAATACTCCTGCCTTCTATTTGCCTCACAAGGGACTGGCCCAGAGTAACCCAGCCGGCTTTCGTGCCTAAGGGAGGTATGTTCAGCCTCTGGGGACAGAGCCATGCCTGATTTAAAGTGCCTAAGGGCTGCCCCCAATCTCCCCCCCAAAGGAGCAAGACCAGGACAATGAAATGGTTGAAGCTAAATCAAAAGCTAAATTTAATTTTGATTAAAATTAAATTATTTCAACGTAGTATGATAAATGTGCTAAATGCATGGGGATTAAATGTCTGTAATACTAAAAAACAAAACAGGGAACAATTTGAATGGGCCACAGTCAAGTCTTTTGAGTCACAGGATATAATCCCCTGGGCTGCTCTGCATCCCTGTTCCATGTTCTGTTGTGGTCAGTGAGACATCTTCCAAATGAGCTGCGCGCAGGTAGCAACACGCATTAGAGTACAGCATAGAAAAATAAATGTACATTCCCATCTTTCTCAGTTTAGAAAAAAAAGACGTTAAGAACTGTTCCATCATACTGCTCTTGACAAACCTGAGTGTAAATACAGATTATAATCTTTTGGGAGAGATTAAGTCTGCATTTCATTATTAAGTATCAAGGATACATGTTGGGACGATGTGACATTTCAGTTTTGGTTTGGAAAAATGGGCTTTCAAATATGCAGGGGCATAAATAACTTTAAAGCCTGTCACTTTAAAGCAACTGCATCTTTTCCTGGGATCACATAGCTGCTTTAAAAGAGGCAGCTTTCTGCATGCAGATATACGTGCAGATTTGGAATCAGATCTGGAACCCGCACAGTCTTAGGGTTGTGTGCATTTCCACCATCCCCAAATTCTTTCTTGTAGGCTACAATCACTGGCTAGGGAATTCTGGGAGTTGAAGTCCACAGGTGTTCAAGTTGCTAAGGTTGAGAAACACTGGCATGGACTAGATATAGATTGTAACTCCGTGCCTTACTAAGCTTAATATGCAGCCTTATGCTTAAACCCAAGCATCCAAAACAATGAACAATACATTTATATTGAACAATTGTTCAATCAGATACGAGTGATTTCCAGATGCTACAAAGACTGGTTTCATGAATCTACTTCAAAGGTCTTAACCAATTAATAAAGAATTGCTCTCAAGATGATATTTGCCTACCAATTAACTTCATTTCTTGCAATTGCAAGAAATGCAATTGTAGATAAATTACACAAGCTGCTTTTACTGGAGAGATCATCTGAGACAGCTATTATGTCTTAAATTCATATGTGACTGCTTTCCCTTTTCCATTCACATATATAAATTATGTGGAGTTTGACAGCATTTTGTTTAAATTTCTCAATGTAGTGTTTCAATCGACATCAACATCTGGACCAGGGCTTCTCAACCTTGGCACGTTTAAGATGTGTGGACTTCAACCCCCAGGCTGGCTGGGGAATTCTGGGAGTTGAAGTCCACACGTCTTAAAGGTTTAAGGCTGAGAAACCCTGATCTAGACTCTTAGAACCATGTTCCCTTGAAATGATCCACATTCCTGCTTAGATCTGTTTATTCTGCTGCCAGGATTTCACTGAGACCTTAAACCGAGGTGAATATTGTGCCACAGCAAAATGTAGTTTCAGATCAGGTGCCCTTGACCCATCAGACCACCATAGCTGGAAGTTTCTGAGAATGCTGGTGAAAAAGAAGAACAGCTCCATTCAAGCTAAGTTTTCTCCTAAGCAGACTCTTGGACCTGACAATGCAAACATAGGAATAAAGTTAACAGTGGTTCACGCTGGGGCAACTTTTTCATTTTCTCCTCCTCCCCCCCCCCTCCCCCCCCCCCCCAAAAAAAAAAAAAAAGACACCTTATGAGAATTTGCATTCTCATCTTGAGAGCTATATCTGTTTGCACCTGAAATCTTGGAAGATCTCATGGAAGAATTTAATTTTTAGAAATTATTTTTATAGATTGGGAGATCCACAAACCTTACTTAGAATATAGTGATTACGTTGCCACTCCCTGAGTTAAGAAATTACACCTCTTTGGCTTTCGCTTCAATGGGAGCATTAATCTAAAACGTCTTCTCCTCTCCCAAGCAATGTTTTAACATTCTTAAAAAACAGGATTGTTTTCCAATCCTAATTTTAAAAGTTCACATTCTGAACAGTTCACATGTTTGCCTTTTAAAATCACTTGATCTCCTAAAGACATTGGCTCAGGAACATGTACCATGTTATTGCATGAAAATAACAATAATTTGAAAATTAATAACATGAGTTGAATCTGTCAAGCTGGTCGCCCAAACTGTAAAATGGTATTTGCTTTTAGTCATATCAAAGAAATAAAGTTGGATATATAAAGTGTTAATTTTGAATTTTAATGCCTGCCTCTTAATATGCAGCATTTGGCTACATATTGTTTGCAGGCCAGCAGGAAGCTTTTCTGAAAGATGTAATACAGTGAAATCCAGCTGATATGCTTATTCAGTGATGGGTATGCATAAGAATGTCCAGTTAAAAATGGATGTCAAAAGACTAATTCAAATAAACATTGCCATAGCGCTGGTTTAGGTGGTGAATTTTCTCTGCCTGGCATGATCCAAAAATTTCCAAGGACACATTGGCAGAGAGAATGTAAGTTCTTTCACAAATAGTCTATGATCATTGTGGAATCTGCTTTTTATCTGGTGGTGTGCTCATGGCACTCTGAACGACAGTGAGCATATTTTACTTTAGCATGTGATGTAACTCTAGCCTTTGTAGTTAATTAATGATTCAGTGGCGGAGTTTACCCAACACAATGGAAGTTGTGGCTTCTCCATCTCTAGAGGTTTTCAGAAAGAGGCTGGACGGCCACCTCTCATGAATGGTGACTTACCGGCACACTGCAGAGAGTTGGAATAGATCATCTCAGTATTCCCTTCAGAATCCACAATTCCATAATTCTGTGATTCACTCAAGACCAGGCTAAAATGGGGATGTGGTTCTGCATGTTGTGGGAACAGCTTAGCATATTGTATAAACCAAACGTCAGCGTTCCAAGGTAGATCAGAATCTTGCAAGTCTGAATGTGCTTCCCCCCTCCCTCCCTATTTTCATGAGAACTAGGGAGGGTCCTGTCTGAGCAACTTTCTCAGGTTACAGTTCTGGCCCAGACTCAGATTATTTTAATTTGACCGTTATCTTGGTTTTGGCTCTTCTTTCTGTTCCTCAAGGTTATTCCTTCTGTCCATTACACCAAACCATTATATTAAGCCATGATGTGGTCTATTTCTTTGGAGAAACCATTAAGTGGTGGCAATTGTCTTAAATCAGTCTTTGGATTAGTTCTGAGATAAGCCCCTTTGGGATCTAGTTCAGGAAGGGGCAGATGAAGATCAAAAGGGGCAGAGGGGTTAGCAAGGACAGATCAGAGGTCACTCTGGATTGGGCCAAAAGAGATGAAACAATGATGAGCAGAGATGCAATCAGATATCATGATTTATGTTTTTATTCTAGGAACACAACTGTGGTTTATTTAATAAAGCCTTGCCAGACCTTCTGATTCACAATGCAGAATCAACAACATTTGGCTACATGTTTTACCTGTGAATCTCTCTCTCTTTTTTACCTTGGGAACGTTATATCCAAAAAGCTGAATATCTTTGATGGGTGCATGGGGTACTGCAAGAGGAACAACAGTTATAATGCGCTGGATTTCATGAATGACAGCATTTGTGTTGGGCAACTTTTCCCGATCTTCATATACCAAGCATGCATTGTTTCCCAGAACAGTGTCTATTGTCTTCTGGAAGGAAGAAATAACTTAGTTACCTTCTCAGTAACATTTCACTGAGTTATGTAAATATAAGATCAGAATAGCGTGAGTCATGGTATCCCTGGGACACCCTCTGGAAGCGAAAGTTGGATTTTGAAGAAGCAGGATAGGAAGAGTATTGATGCATTTGAACTTTGGTGTTGGAGAAGACTCCTGAGAATGCCATGGACAAGCAGCAGGTTCTAATCTTGATTGCAGAGAACATCCTTTCATGTCCAAATGAAAACTTTGACTTGAGTTTAGACCATTTGTCATTTTTATCAGTTAAGCCAAGTTACCAATGTTTTTCATCAAGAATGCAGTCTGATATCTGTCTACCTCGGATCTCTGGAAAGGCCATCATGTCGAGCACCGCCCCATACAGCATCTTTATCTCAGGATAATCCACCAATTAGCAAATTAGTCACTGTCATAAGTAATTGGTCTTCTTCAAAGCTTGACCCTTTAGTTTTTTGCTGTTTTTAATTTGAAAAAGAAAAATTGGAAATATTATGTTGTAGTCAAGGCATGGATGGTTTTAAGCATTTTTCTACTTTTTATACCTTTTCAAGCCATTCATAGGAGATCAGTTAGGAGCAAAAGAGAACCCAGGCCCTCAGAGTCTCACTCTAAAAAAAACACAACCCCAAATGAAAAGGAAGCAGGGAGAGAAGAAGCAAGTGAGCAAAGAGACTCCAATTCTTCCAATCCCCAATACCTCCAACAACCCATCAGGAGGAGGAAAAAAGGGAGATGCTCCTCCTGCAGGAACAGCGACATGGTCCTTCTTCCTCACTCTTCCTCTGCTGCAGCCTGATGGAAAGATCACTGCTAGATATGGAGCAATGTCATGATGGTGGAGTGAAGGTCACCCATGAAGCCAGCTAGGTGAAGAGCAGGAAGAAAAAGGCTGAGAGGAGGAACTAGTAAGGAAAGGCAGCAAAAGCCACAGTTGGGTGTCAAGAGCAACACCCTCTGCTTCCTAGGCAAAGGCTGAGCTTGACTGTATC